CATGTGTATGTGTATGTGTTTTTATGTGTATGTCTATGTGTATGTGTATGTGATTATGTGTATGTATCTGTGTACGTATGTATACATGTATACCTGTATATGTTTATATTTATGCAGATGCGTATGTTTCTCAATAAGAAATGTCTACACACACATATTTGGATATCATACATACATACATACATACATACATACATACATGCATACATACATACATATATATATATATATAGATATGTAACCCTGGAGCTCATACAACGTCCGTGGCCCGCAGGTTAGATGCAATGAGGACGGCGGCTATGAACGCGTAGGCAGGATGGCGCATGATGCGAATGCTTCAAGGGTCCAGGGCTTCGGGCTTAGGGTTTGATCATTTATCTTGTTGCCGGGCGTCTTCGTGCTTCGCATGATGTACACCACACCCTGAAGTGTAGAAGGAATCCCTCAAAAAAGTTATTCTTAATTCTAGTACTTGTGTTGATACATATCGGGAAAGACCCCTTAAAGGCCCCTTAAGTCTTCAAGTCTTCAAGCAATCCCTAAAGAACACTCTTTCCGACAAGTTCGAAGGCGGCGGCTCCGAGGGGTCCCGCAGTTGCTCTGCAAGTGCGCCAGAATCGCTGTACTTCGAGGCAGGGTTAATACGGTTGATGATATAAGTCTTGCATTACCTTAAGGACCCTAAACTATGGGAATTATGGTATGTTCCTTATTATGGGTAATGCAGGATTTATATGCTGTACTTCGAGGCAGGGTCAATCGTTGTAACCTTCTTCCCTTTTTCTAGTCCTGGGTTCCCTATAAGGTTACCCAGTACCGAAAAAGGAGCCCTTTTTATTCCTAGGTTACTGGGAATCCTAGAGTATGAATGTGTTTAGGGTCTTGGGGTGATGTTTTGAGTTGCTGTAGCGCTTCGAGGCCGGGTCATAGTATATTTATGGCATATGGTGGTTTCCGAAAATTAGGGGTACCTTATGTTGGGATCCTTACAATGGGGATCCTACTATTTAGGGTACTCTATTCGGATCCGCTGTCTTGTATGAACTGAAATGTTACGGCTGTGGTGTTTCATGGCAAGTTTCTATGCTATACAACTACTACTACGACGACGACTACTACTACCACTACTACCACTGCTACTATAGTAGGGTTATTGTATAATTGTATGGACATGTCGATCTGTACTAGTTTAGCATCATAAGGTCACCGAAAAAGAGTCATATGGAAGGAGAGAGGGGCTGCAAGGGGGTCTCAAAGGGGAAAAGGAGGGACCCTTACTGGGGACCCCTAACCTATAATGAGCTATATAATGGGTATATAATAGCTATATTAAGGGTATATACCTCGAAATCCTTATTGAGGGTCCGTCCTTTTCCTCTTTGAGGGTCGGGGCTTCGGGGTTTGAGGATCTAGGGTTCGATGTTTGGGCTTGGAGTCTCAGGGTTACAGGGACGGTAATCCTGAAACTCCAGTTAGTGGGTTTAGGGCTTTAGGATTGTGGGGCTTGGGGTTTAGGATTTATAGATTTTATAGAGTTTTAAGGTTTAGGAGCCCTTCCTAGTTTGATACGGCCGGTCTTGTGTGGACGACAAACAGATTATGTTTATCAGGTCAACAAACGCAAACTGTCACCCATCATCTTCATTATCCACTGTTTTGGTTCCGGCTTGTCGCTGAAATCACCGACACACCTAGATCGGGTTCCCTTGCTGAGCGGGTCACAAACTTCAGTAGATTGCTCCTTGACCGGAACTGCCTGCATCAAGACGGCCGTGTTCAACTTCACCGGCAGTGCCAGCGTTCCGCCTGGAGCCTTCAATTCCAGTCTCTATACTTACCCTATAAACATCCCTCAGCCCTGAACCCTAAAACCCTAAACCCCAAAACCCTAAACTACAAACTCCTAAACCCAAAACCCTACACCCCAAACCCTAAAGCCCTTAGACCTTAAACTCTGCACCCTAGAGTCTCGGGCCTTTTCCCTAAACTTCATATTTCCGATTCCTTCGGAGGAGCCCCCCGACCTCAAAAAAAACAGGGCTCGACAAGGGAACGAACGGGGGTTAGGTTTCAGGGTACAGGGATAAGAATCAGGATAGCGCCCTTTTAATGGTTGAGATAGACTCTAAAGCCTTATATAAACCCTATACCCTAATTCTTACCTTGGGGACCAAATGACCCTCGTAAGTATACTTGCCTTGTTTATACCCCTAGTTACTAAGTACCATGAACCGTCAAGTATAAGCCCTAGACCCCCCAAAAACCTACAAGCCCTTATACCCCGAAACCTATCAACCCCAAGCTCCAAAGCCTGTTGGCCCTACAGCCTTGACCCCTAAGCCCTAAAGCCCACAATCCCCAAGCTCTGAAGCTGAAACCCCTGCACTTGGAGGATCATGAGACTTAGTAAGTAAGGTTATAAGTTATAAGTACCCTAATTGGAGTTATAAGTATAGTTACCTTATTTATAACCCTAGTTACTAACTCCCATGATCCTGCAAGTAGCCCCAAGCCGCAGTCCTTCCTCTTTCTGGCAGGAGGCACCACTCTGCCAGCTCAAAGAAGTCCCCACCTTGGATTTATGTCCCTATAAGGGTCCTTCAAGAGTTCTATGAGTGTACTATAAGGGTCCCTTCAACGGTACATAAGAGTTCTATAAGGGTCCCTTTTTCCGAAGGACCCAATAATTAGGTACTCGGTTTCAGGATAGTAGTTATGTAGCTTAGGATTGTGTAGAGTATATGAGGGTAGCAGGATTCACGACCAGGGTTCGAGGGTTAAGGGTTATAAGGTTCAGGGTTTAGGATTTACCTGTCAGGGTTTTAGTGCTTGGGGTTCAGCGCTTTAGGGCTTCGGGCTACGGTTTAGTGTGACGTAGCTTTTAGGTTCAGGGTTGGATTCTCGGTGTTTCAGGGACGGAGTTCAGGTTGCTGAGAGGAGCATTCGGATTTCAGGGTTTAGGGTTTAGGGTTTAGGGTTTAGGGTCTCGGTGGGTTGTCGTGATATGGCCACAGGGTTCGCAGGGGGCTCGGGTTAGTTTTGGGGTTTCTGGCGCCGTATCCTATTCTGGGGCAGAGGCATGGATCTGAGTAAATAGTATAGAAGCCTAAATGACTATTTAGCCACATTATTCTTAATTAGAGTTCTTTGTTATAGTTATACTACATAGTTTAGCCCCAAGCGTCGAAAGGACCCAATAACGAGGTGCTCGGTTCTAGGATACTAGTAGTAGTTCTGTAGGTTGTGATTTTGGAAGTCTATGATTATTTGGTACTTGGACCCTTAAGGCCACTCCCGAATTCCTACAAGCGAGTGTGTCACACACCTGGCTTAGGGCTACGGTTCTACTGGTTTAGGGTTTTGGGGGTTTAGGGGGTTTGTTGTTTAGGGTTTTTGGGTTTGGGGGGGTTAGATTTTGGGCTGAGGGTAGCTATCAACCACATGGATACCCTAATTCGTAAAGCCCTGAATCCCAAAAACACCAGGCCCCAACACAAACAAACACTGAGGGGTACTTAGAAAAGAAACAGCTCAACTCAGTTTTGGCTAGAGGTTTAAGTTAAGTATATTGGGTGGTTGTCAAAATCATGGTACCTTTTGGGGGTCCCTGTTGTAATACGGCACCTACTATTTAGGGCAGCCAAGAAGGGACCTTAATTTTGACAGCCACCCTCAGAATATGAAACTCTGAAGCCAAAACGCCCTAAACCCTGAGGCCACGCCGCAGTGCAAAGCGGTTCAATCGTTTCCGAGTCTTCGGCTGAGGCCCTGCAACTCTCTAAGGTGTGTGTGTGTACATATGCAAATACTTTGGCATCTACCATTTACATGTGTATATATTTACACACTCTTATATATACACATAAATATGTCTTTGCATATATATATATATATATATATATACATATGTATATATATATATATACACATACATACATATCATACATACATACACATCATGCATTGATGGAACTTGGGATTCAGGGTATAGTGGTTTCGAGTCTTGATGGATGTGCAGCTTAGTTTGCATAGCTTGATGGTCGTTCTCAATTGTCGAGGGGTTTGCAGGATATTGTATTAGGTGTCGGGCCGCTGAGTGATTTGACAGAGCTTAGTTCTTGATGAGTTTTCATAGACCTGAAGAGTCTAGGTAAGTGGATGTCTGGGACTGCACCGCGGACTGCGTCCCTGAGCAGCACATGCCTGTACGCACGTACACTTACATGAGAACCCATGCAGACATACAGACAGACACACAGACAGACCGACAGACGCCGAGACTGAGGCGGAGGCGCAGACGTAAAGAGAGAGAGAGAGAGAGAGACCGACAGACAGACAGGCAGGCAGGCAGGCAGACGGGCAGGCAGGCAGGCAGGCAGGCGGACAGGCAGGCCAGACAGACAGACATGCAACGCAAACATGCGGTCATGCGCACCTACATATGTGCAATCATACATGCGAAATAGATTATACATACATACTGCCCTTTCCTACCATACCCTTCCTACCCTGCCCTACCCTGCCATTCCGTATTTTAGCATACCATCCCATCCCATTTCATCCCATCCATACATACCGACACGTACACGTATATACCATGCATGCACACATACATACAAGCGCTGATGTATGTATAGCAGACATACGGTCATGCACATTACAGACAGACCGGCAGAGAGAGAGAGAGAGAGAGAGACGAACGGGCAGGCAACCAGATAGCCAGGCAAGCAAGGCAGACCGAGACAGACAGGCAGACAGACAGACAGACCGACCGACCGACGGACAGACAGACAGACAGACAGACAGACACCACACACGTGCTGCATAGCGAGTTTGACAAGGAAGTAGCGGTCACAAAGAACGCATTCGTCCCGAATAAGTTGCCGCCCCGGTGCTGAGGTTTTGTTTGTTTTGAGACCAGTCTGCATTAGTTGTGCTGGAGCATCCGCAGCCGCTCCGCCTCCAAGTGACCAAGTGTTGCAGCCTGCTTCCCATTCGCCATGGCCGTAGCTCAGTCGGTCCTCCTCATTTTGATCAACGAATCCTGTCCTCTCGTTGGTTTTGGAGTGGTTTTCTATGTTTCCTTTTCCGTGGCTAATAACAAGCATCTCCTTCAAGTAGAGAAAGGTATGGCATGCTTGCCGGTTACTAGAAGGTTAGGTTGCGATTACAAGTCTGCCCATGAGTCAATCAGTTGAGAACTAGGCCGGACCTACTTCGCACTGAGCAGGCGCACAACGAATTTGAATGTTTAGGCAACCAGAAGCTTGCAAGCCGGCATGCGCCAGCAAGAGGTAAGGATGCCGACGAAGCGGCCTTTGATCTGGATGAGCGCTGCTCCGAAGTGGAACGTGGGGTGCTCGGTCGCACGGTCATATGTCCCCAGACTGCGGTTGGCATCCTTATCATGTTCATGATGTGTCACGGCGTCTCAGGTGATGCCAGTGGCCACGAAGTGATAGGAAGGGTGGAGGAGTTTATGTCAGCGGGGTTGCGCTGGCGACTCAGGAGATTGAATAGCATAATGGGTAGTAATAAGGCAGACCGACAGACAGAGACAGACAGACACAGACAGGCACAGACAGGCACAGACAGGCAGACAGATGGTCATCCATCCATACCTCGCGGACGTACGCGCGTAGATATGTACTTGCACACATGCTTTCATGTACAGCCCGTGCGCACATGCATGCATGCATGCATGCAGACAGACAGACACAAATATGTGCAAAATACATGGAACACATACATGCATTAACTCGTCCATCCGGTCACACATCTCTCCACCCTTCCACCCTTCCATCCTTCCATCCATCCTTCCATCCATCCTTCCATCCATCCTTCCATCCATACATCAATCCGTCCATCCTACATATGCATATTCATTGACATATACATATGCATATACATATACCTATACATGTACATATACATATACATATACATATACATATACATAGACGTATTCATATACATATACATATACATATACATATACATATACATCTACATCTACATCTACATATACATATTCATATACAGATACAGATACAGGTACGGATACATACACATACACATATACATATACATATACATATACATATACATATTCATAATCATATTCATATTCATATTCATATTCATATACATATACACATACTTGTACTTATACCTATACATATACGTATACATATACATATACCTATACCGACACATACCTATATCTATACCTGTACCGACACATACCTATACCTGCACCTAAACATAGACATAAACATAGACATAGACAGGTGCATATACATATATACACACACATGCATGTGTACACGCGTACATATGACATACATGTTACAGTCGAAAACAGATCCATACTTACGGACGGACAGACAAACATGGCTACAAAGGTTGGTCTTGATGTCAGGGCCTATGAGGCTGCAGGCGACTACATCGACAATCCGACATCTTCGGGCAGCGAGGAGCAGGATCATGATGGCGATGAAGCCGCTCTGATTACATGGTTTTGCTTCAAAGCCGTAATCAGGCTTGCTAGCCATGCAATGGGCCCGTTTCCTTGCAAATTCAGACCAGAATGATTCTTCACAACGTGGAGCGATGCAGATCGGAGCGCCAGTGAGTCCACAAAGCTTGACCATGCATGGACGGACCCGGACCCGGTTCATAATCCGGACACCAACTTGGCAATGGCGCGGAAATATTTTGGACCGTACTTGGACATGAAGCCAAGTCTCTTTGAACAACCAAGTACACAGCAAATACCAACAACCCCGAGGCAACAGCTTAAACTCAGGTTTTGGAGATTAGGGTGCAAACCTCTAGCCGCAACATTGTAAGCTCTAGCTACGCCCTGGGTCGTAGTCCCTGTAGCACCTGCTGCTTAGGGATGACAATAGGAAGATAATGTAGCCAAGAGAGGGAGCTACTCATAAGGAGTCTATGACAGAGGGTTGAATCATGAATCATGAATAGCCATGTTTTTTTGGGACAAATGATTCTATAGTGGCACTATTTTTGGACATCAGATATTTTCTATTCCCTGCCACAGTAGCCCCCACTCGGTTCTACACGAATTTGTCTTGAAGCTTTTGCTCTAACCCTACGCCTCAAAAAGGCCGAAAAGCCTTACATAGTACATGGTGTTTACGCCCAACAGCCTCAAGATAGGAGTCTTTAGAGCCGTATCGTAGTAGTTTTGGTAATAGTACACCATAAACCCTAACCCCCCAAATCCTATGCGGGCCACTTTCTAACGTAAGCATTGATCTCCTGAGTGCGAAGCCGGTCTCTAGAGCTGAAGCCACTGTTTTGTTCCACTTTCCCTTACCACATGAGGCTCTAAGGACTCAGGATTTGCGGTTTGGGGTTTCGGGTTTGGGAGTTTTTGGGTCTAAAGCCCAAACTGCCTGAGGCTTGCAGGATATTTTGAGCCTAGGGGCTAGAGTTCCGCTATTGCTGACCGTGCGACCTTTACTAGGATATCTTGAGGGCTCTGTAAGGATTTGGACCCCGACGAAAGCCTTCTCTAGCTGCTCCAATAGCGAGTAGCCACATCAAGTCGGGCTGGCTATTTCTAGATGCAAAAATGAGGGCTTTATGTCCCCGGAGAGGCTCTAAATACCTACGTGCCTACATGGTACTAGTAGGTTGCTAACGTAGGCATTCCCTTGGTGGTTTGTGTAAGTATCTCCCATATAGGTACTTAAGACTGTTTAGGGTCATGCTCCCCTAGACCCCGATCCCCCACCTCAAGATTTTCCGCACGCCCTCGCCAGTGACTGCGGTGGTGCAACCGTGGGAGAGGAGCAGAAGTGCGAGGTGCGCCGATTGTTGATGGCCTAGGCTTTACTTACAGCTGAGGCCCTAAGCAGCAGGCTTTGTACAGTTTTGTGTTTTGGGCTGTTGGGGTGTAGGGCTTAGCGTGTCGGGCTTGTGGCTTTGGGTGTAAAGTTTAAGGCTCAGGGTTTCCAATTATAGGGCTCAGGGCTTAGGATTTAAAGTGTGCCATGGAATCGGGTCCAGGATGTTGAGTTGCGGGCACAATCAAGGCGCATGTTCTTGCAGTGCCCTTACCACAAGCCGGGTTTAGGGTCAGCCGGCGCAGATCTTTCCTATCGGTCCTTGTACCTGTCGGCCCAGAAGCCATTCACAGCGCAGGCATGTTGTCTGTCTTGGCCACAGTTCAACGGGTATTGTACCAAGGTGTGAACTTGTTAGGTGTGAACTTGTCTCAGATTTCGATGCGTCAGGGGGCAACCTCGGTCGGCTCCTCTCAGGTATGTAATTAATCTCTTGTGCTCAGCCCGATCCTAACATTAGCCCCCACGGCCCTATGGGCTATAGGACCACCACTTGTGCGACAAACCCTGATTCCCAAACCCTACTTGGAGGGTCGGGGGACTTAGTAAGTAGGTGGTAAGTAGACTTCTAAGTACCCTAGAAGGGACCCTAATTGGGGTTATGGTACTTATAAGTCCTCAAAGTAACCAGTTGCTAAGTCCCCCTAAACCCTAAATCCTGTACCCTTATAGAATCCCTATAGATCCCTTTAAAGGGCCCCTTTAAAGGACCCCCCTAATATAGTTACTAAGTCCCCTAAAGACCCTCCAAGTAGCGTGCACCTTGCACCTAAACGCCCTGAATCCTTCGACCTAAAGGATGCCAAACCCACTCTCGTTGAGGGTAGTAGTTTGGTTTAGGGCTTAGGGTTTAGGGTTTAGGGTTTAGGGTTTAGGGTTGAGGGGCTTAGGGTTTAGGGTTTAGGGTTTAGGGTTGAGGGTAGTAGTTTCACTTAGTGGCTGAGTGGATACACTTCTTGGCGTTCTTCTGGTTGGCTCTTAGGACCTTAACTTTTTGGGTTTCTATATGAACTAATAAGGAGGCTCAAAGTTTAACTTTTAGGAGGGGTCCAGAAGTCAGCCAAGAGTTTCAGTTAGCATTTGGGAGTGTAGTATAGCCGTACTAGGTAGTTGTGATCCTTCGGGGGAGGGACCCTAAATCCTAAAGGGGTGGAGGTTCGAGCTTTTTAGCCCCCAGAGCCTTCACTTTACTCTGACACTTGATTGCGACACTTCAACTTTGAAACCCCATAAGTGTAGCCGAGCGTCACGGGGGTGTAGCAGAATATGTTGTGCGATGTTGTACGATATTTCCCTGCCGGGCCATGCATGCCCGAAGTTAACTGAAGCTCACAAAACGGCAGACATTCGAGCCTCACACCGCAGGTGCATTGCGCAAGCGGGCATGCCACCTTCACTGACGTCCAAGAGGCTGCTAGCACAAGAGAGTGCCCAAACCCTGGCCCTGAACCCTTAGCCTGAAGCCCTCTAAACCCTACGCAGCCTAAATCCTACACGCTTTTCCGGGTGAACTGTTTCTGGAAATTCTCTAAGTCCTGAAACTCCTTAAGCTCCATGGCTGAGTTTTTAGGGTTTGGGGTTTGAGTTTAGGGTTGGGTTGAGGGGTTTGGGGTTTAGGGGCTTCGTTTAGGGGCCTTCCAGAAGCCCGTGAGCCTCGACCTACGAGGTCGGCGGTGCTCCTGACAATGAGTGGGGTTTAGGATTTAGGGTCTAGGGTTTAGGGGTTAGGGGTTTAGGGTTTAGGGGTTTAGGGTTTAGGGCATCCCCTAGCCATAGAAACCCCCTAAACCCTCAACCATAAACCTTACAAAAGCCTCAACCTGGTTTTGCTTCGCCTTTCAAGTTGTGCATTTTCTGAGGTTCTGTCTGCTGCTATCTGGGCATGTGGTAATACTTTGTTCTGTGGGGTCTAGTATATACTTGGGCATACTTGGGCCTTAAAGTAGCTATTTAGGGATTGCTTGAAGTCCAGATTTTGTACTGCATCAGTGCATGTGCCATGGGGGTTTCGGCACCTACAACTTAGTCTGAACCCTACCCTGATATCAAATCGCCGCTGAAATAGCCTATCTTTCTGTGAGTTTGTAAGGACGACAGAATAGGGAACCCCAATAGGATGGGTTTAAGAGGGCTCAGGTAGACCCTAAGCCCGAAAGCCTACAGCTGTATCCCTCAACCCTAACACCCTCAACTCTTAACCCTAAACCGCAAACCCTAAGCCCTACCTGGACCCTATAAAACCTTCCGTTTTCGGGCTCCCTATGAAGAGTTCCCTGTATAGGTCCGTGAAAAGAATGGATTATTTGTGGTCCAGGTAAACCCTAAACCGCTTAGCCTTGCAAAGGGGCTGAAGACGTGCAACATCGACCCCGATTACGTGGCGGCCTTGGTCATGCTGCACTTCTGGTATTTGGGTTTAGGGTTTTAGGGTTTAGGGTTTAGGGTTTCAGGGTTTTGGGTTTAGGGCTTAGGGTTAGAGTTAGGGCGTAGGGTTAGAGTTTAGGTTTTGGGGTTTAGGGTTTAGGGTTTCTGGGAGGGTTTATACATAGGGTTTAGGGTTAGGGTTAGGGTATTTTGAGGCCCATAGGGCATGGTTTCGTGTTCGAGGGCCTTCACGCTTTGGGGTGTTGCGGCGTTTAGTCTTTGGGGATTTTGGGGGGAACTTTTGGTCAAGGGTATGGGACGTACTACACCTGTAGTTGCAATATGCACGGTGCTGACGAAGCGTTTGAACATACATGGTAAATCCCAGGACAAGGATTGCCGGAATGCTGGAAACCTCACCCCAATTCTCAAAATACCCCTAAACCCTAAACCCTAAACCCTAAACCCTAAACCGAAAGCCTCATATAATCTGGTCTCCAGGCCCTGAAAAAGCCATGAGTCCTTAGAGCCTCAGGGTTAGGGTAAAGCCTATACTGCCAGCTCTGGGAGTCGCCGCGACCCCAAACTCTGAACCCCAAACCCTCTAACATACCTGTAGTCTCCACTGTAGTTCCTTTTTGGGGCTACCTTTCAGGATCCTTAATATACAACTGGTTAAACCAAAAAAAAGGAACTACAATGGAGACCATAGGGGCTAAACAAATACCAACACTATTTTGGACCTTTGCAAGAACCGGGTTGCGCCCACATGGGCTCTACGGACCTCCACAGAATAGAACAGAACAGAATGCCATTTTTTGTTTTTTTTTTGGGGGGGGTTCCTTATTACAATAGTAATGTAACTGGCCCCAAAACCCTATTCTAGTCATTAAGGGCCCTATATTATCATAGAACTTTAGTATAGGTCCCTTTAAGGAACCCCTTAAAGGAACCCTATCAGGTAATCCGAACAAACGGAACGACTATGGAGCCCATGGGTAAACTCCACCGAGCCCAAATCCAATAACAATGTTGGCACGGCTTCAGGGCTCAAGGTAGGGAATCGGCAGTATATCAACAGCAGTTAGGGAAATAGTCTCAATCAGAATATTTATCGATGTCATAGTTCAAGCAGGTGATCGCGGAGAATCGTCGTCATTGCGGTGGTTGTCGGTGTTTTGTAGTCGTCGTCGAAGTCGTGGTCGTCGTAGCAGTTGCCGAAGTCGCCGTGATAGCAGGAGCAGCCACATGATGAGGAGGAGAAGCAGCAGCAGTGTCTGCAGCAGCATATAGTTATTACAACTGCTGGTACAGATAGCAACATCGATATCAATCATAAAGTGCATTACCATCGCTTGTAATGCGGATTTGGTCGCAAAAGTTACTGTCTACTGTATCTGGATGCATCTTACAAACAAGATGCCTCAAATCTCTCTCTTCCCCTCTCTGACACACGGGCACACAGGTGTGCTTGCCAACAGTACTCGGGTAACGAGAACAAAACTTAGCATGCCAGGAAACATAAAAGCATCCTAAACCGCTTAAATCCCAAACCAGATGCCATAAAGATGTTCTTCAGGCCTTGAAGGAGACGACGTGCAAAAGCGTGAACAGTGACAGCCCCAGCATTTGGCGAGTTGTGTTGGCGGCTGCTGAATTCATGGTTTAGGGCTGAAGGTTGAGGTTGGATTCGACATAGGATCCCAGTACAGTACCTGAAGGTTTTACAGACCGTATGCAAGGGTTTGTATTGGGGCCGCCCCCTTCTGGTCGCGCGTAGTGCCTTCAGTTACAGAAGGGAATATTGCTTCAGTCTGCACAGCCAACGGGGGATCAGCTGAGCCTTTGTTTTTGTCAAGCTTGGTCTTGCTGCCCGTGTGTGTCTGCGTGTTTGGCTCGGCCACCCCGCACCCCAAACCCTTTCTCCGAGCTTAGTACACGTGGAAGGGATCACAGCGGGAAGAGCACTCACGCACCCACACACACTCACACACTCACGTATTCGCTCTCTCAGTCAGTCACTCACTCGCTCATGCTGCATTCGAGCCGCCTTCAAATTCTCAAATAGTACTCCTTCTAGTCACCCATTATGGTAACCCTTACAGTGATAGTATGCCAAATAGCAACCCTTTTAGTAAATCCTTAGAGTAAGCCTTACCATGAGTCAATGATAGTATCCCTGATAGTAGCCCTTACCCTAAGGGCCCGTGTACTACCGTGTACCCAAATACTATATACTTTGTGCAATGTACCTATACTTAGATAGCCAATGGGGGAACTTTAAACTTTTTGGCCTTATATATGTGGTCTATTTTAGAAAGTTCAAACTTTTTTGGGCCCGGTTATTGAAGGAGAGAGTATATAGGGAGTCCTTTTAGGCCAAAGTATCTACTATTGGGTTACGTGGACCCTTAGGGTTATGGTAGCCCTTATAGAAGGCCAGCCTTCTGGTCTGACGGTAACCCATTTGATGACCCGTTCCAACCCGACAAAATCCACAGCAAGGACTCCTTCGTCAGCTCGTCGTTTACAATAGAAGCCCAGAAAGTTGGAAACCGGGTCAATTCTAAATAGTGCTGGGGCTCCTTATACATTACTCTCAAGGATTGAGGCTATCGGGTTTCCAAATTTTGGGCTTCTACTGTAGGCTTAGGATTTTGGTTTTGGGGTCGCTGGTGGTTTAGGGTTTTCCTTAACCCTGAATAGCCTACTTTTTCAGGGTTCCCGATTATGATTTCCTTACCTCAGTCCTGAAAAAGGTAGGTTCATCAGGGTCAAGGTTGTGTGTAGGGTTTACGGTTGGGGTGAGGTCTTTCTGGCATGCTTCTGTGAAGGGTCCAGGCACGATGTAGTAGATACCCGGACCTGATGGGTGCCTCTAATGGATTCCATATGAATGTACAGCCAAAAAGCACAAGATAAAATAATGCTTCGTAAATGCTACTCTTAGGGCTCCTTCACGCAGATATAGTAGGGCATACCCCAAAACCCCATTCGAATTTTTAATAGTAAACCCGGATCCTAAGTTGGTTTATGTTCTCTCGCTCTCTCTCTCTCTCTCTCGCTCTCTCTCGCTCTCTCTCTCTCTCTCTCTCTCTCTCTCTCTCTCTTTCTCTCTCTCTACATGCTCACCTGAAGCCGCCCATGCAGCCATGCGTCGATAAATCTGACTGTATGCATGGAAGCCATCGTGGTTTCACAACCCGAACCCGAAGCAACGTCCTCCCAGAGCCGTGAACACGACAAATCGTTGGAACTGGCCGCCCGAAATGCCTTCAACCCCAAACCCTGAACCTGAAGCCAAAACCCTAAACGGCCCTAAACCTTAAACCAGAAGCCTAAACCCTGAACCATGAGGTGAAGGGGATTGCCTGACAAGCTGATGCCTGAGATTTGTGATCCAGCTTCCAGGATTTAGGGTTTAGGGTTTAGGGCTTCAGGGTTTTAGGGTTTATGTATAGTGGTCAGTGTCGGAGGGAAACGGAACACTGCCAATTTGAACCCTAACACCTCTAAGCACGACATGCGCAGCTGAGGGGATGTTTGGAGTTCAGTGTTCGTCAGGATCCATGTACTTGCACAGGAAGACATATGGGAGGTTTCGAAAATAGGGGTACCTTATTTTGGGGTCCTTATAATGAGGATCCTACTATTTACCCTCCTCTTCCGCGCACCCGTTTAACTGGTGGGTTGCTGATTCGGCAGTTTATTGCGTGGCCTCTGAGATGCTTGAGATTTCGGCCAGATTCGTAGTGCCCGAATGGATCCAGGCAGTTCGCACAATGAACACATGTAGTTCCAACATAAAGATATAGGAGATTGATGAAAGGACACAGCAGCTCTTTGTGCGCCAAACGAAGTCATGTCGTAATCAACTTGTGACATCATGCCTCTTTCAGCGCTCCTGCTGCTCGCGTGGGTACGCTTCTCAGAGAGGTGATCAAACAACGCTCGGTTGAAGATCTGTGGTGCTGGTGTGAGGTCTCTGCGATGCCTCATACCTACCTTCGGAAAGCCTTCTCAGCTCGCTTGAAGCTGAAACCTTGATTTGTGTGTGTTCAGCGAATTTCTTCAAACCAGTTCCCGCAAATATTCCTGTCCACTTTCCCCAGGTCTGGAGGAAATCGGTGAACTGGACAGAGGTGCTTCCGTCCACCACTTCGCATGGGAGGGCTTGCAATCATCAGCTGTCAAAGCTTCAGATTCAAATCGTTGTGCGACCTGCTGGCCATCAAGGTACAAGGACCGGCTAGGTCTGAAGCATCATATAGCAGTTTTTTTCCTCATGAGCCATGCCCGACAGCAAACCAAATCCGGCACGAGTCGCACTATTGCAGGACACGGGGATACCTTGTCGGTTCTTGCATTTTTGAGCTCTGCGGCTGGATGCCACAAGCTGATCAATTGAGACAGGAATTTCTGAAAGACCTCCTGATGCCGGGTTACGTGAACAAACGGATTGAAGCGCTGAAGCAAAGGTTGACAAAGGTTTCCAAAAAGGAAGATCCTGAGGCAGGGAGACTCTGAAGCTAACCTTTCGAGCCACTAGCAACGTTATGGTTTCCGCAGGCGAAATTCCGCTTCCGATTCCTCGATGTGGAACAGAAGGCGATCTCCGAAGCGCAGGCTACACCCAGTATTGATTCAGATGATCTCGAGGTTCCTCGGTTTTCTTGACTTCCGGTCCAGGTTTGCAGCGACCACAATTATCCCATCATCTTGAATTATTGTGCGACGTTCGCTGGCGAGTTGCCAACCAAGAAGGAAACGGAGGCCTGTGAACCTTGCCACATATGTTTTTCATTCTGTGAGTTTCCTTGAAAGGCTGCGATAGCCTGGAGCAGTTCTCACTTCCGCCTCCATGACACACCATTGCCGAAAGATGAGTTGGAAGTCGCAACCTGAGAATCCTTTTTGAAACAAATCATAAGGCCTTTTGTCAAACGTGCAATCCCAGGAATGGGCTGAGGAAGAAGCTGGAGTTCTTCGGTCCTTTGTCTCCTGGGCCTGCGACCGTTCTTGGCGCAACCGGAACACCAGGCGACTCTCTACATGAAATATCCAGATATGATAGATGTTCTACTTCTGCCGACCAGGAAAGGCCCCAACCATGACAAGTTCGCCAAGCTGAAGCAAGTTATCCAAGCGAAGAAAGAGGACTCCCTCGAAGTTATGCTAGCAGCATGTCAACCAAAATCATTCCGCAGGAGCTCACGAAACAGAAGAGCGCAGATGCAGACATGGAGGTCGCCGGGGGATCAGTTCGTTTTTCTTCTGGTTGAAACGAAACGGTTTAGGGTGCTGGATTTGCTATTTGGCTTCTTGGAAAATACAGTTTGGGCCCCACCCGTTGGAACCTACACAGATCCTGTTAATTATGTTTCCAGTCGTCCCTGTCCCTTAATTAAATTACTAAGAACATAAGAAATCGAAGTCATAAGGGTAGTAGTTTCAAGCTCTATGAACTTAAGGCTTAGGTTTTGGAGCATCATGTGCCGACAGAGAGCTTTTGTGTGCTACAAGATGACAGCTAAAGCCGGTACGTTAAGTCTAGTTGATCCGAACCTGCAAAGCCTCCCGCCCAAACCCGATCTGAGACCGAACACTTTCAACCAACGACCCTAAAGACCCCGAAGTCGAGTCCCGAAGACCGCCAAAACCTGCCCAAACTCGCTAAGTAAATTCGGAAACCCTAAAGACCCCAATAAGTTTTCAGGCCCTGAACACTCAAACCCCAAGCACGGGCTTAGGGCTGTGCGGTTTAAGGCCCATAACTTAGAGCTTGGTTGTGTCATTCTGGATCAAGTGGGTTAGGCATTATTAGGGTTGAGGTATTAGGGTTTTTGGTTTACGGTTTCGAATGACTTCGGTTGTTATGCCTTCAACAATGATTTGGGTCATGATTTTTCTATTATATTCCTATCCGTCTTAATACTACGAACCCTTCTTCTCCTACCTGTACTCCTACCCCCGCTACTACCACGATTTCGTCTGCTGGCTGCTAAGTCGGGGGGGTAGGACCAAGAAAGAATGTTAGGTTCAGGGTTGCGGGTTTCGGGAATTCGGGTTGTGAAGTTTTGCTGACTTAGAAATGAGAGAAGATAGCAACCATTGAAATGTATCCAACTCAGTCTTAGGGCCTTAGGGTTTCCGGACTTGGAAATTTGGGAATAATTTGATTGGGTGAAGTTTGAAACCGAGATAGTTAGTGTAAACCCTGGGAGTGTTGGCTGCTGCTGCTGCTGCTGCTGCTGCTGCACCAGGCGACGGACGCCGACGCCTGCGACCAGGCTCAAGAAGGAGAGGGTGGGGAGGAGGAGTGCCCTCGTGAAGTTGATGACTGTGTTCCTGGAGAAGATATTGAATCCAACGATGAAGCTGCAAAAAAAAGTGGCACTTTCAAGGACTGATCTCCAGCTAAGTCTTCGTGTAATACACTTGCTGATTTCAATTGATGAAACTGCCTGTTCTGCAATTTTAGCATGCATATGCATACAGGATGAAAAGGCGAAGACTGCATCGGTGCCTTCATTGCCGAAGAAATCGATCTTGAAAGCCCAGAAACTCTTAAAGGAGCACAAAGGGGATGATCCGAACTTGGCTGTGCAGGCTGTGTCAGTACTCTCGTGCTAGCTTTGCACGAATCCTCCAACTTGTGATTCTTAGCTTTCCGGCTAGGCCCAGCAGAAAGCGCGCAGAGCCCTTCGCGAGAGAGCGAAGGGAGAGGCCGTGGATGATGATGATCCGCAGTCAGAGGACTCGGCTGCACGCGGCCGGGGGAACAGAGGCAGGGGGCGAGGGCGAGGGAGATCAGGCAGAGGCCGAGGCCGGGGGCGGACACAGTCACGGGACCCCCCTCCGATGAAGCGCCCAGCTTCCAAGCAGCCCAAGGGTGCCCGGGAGAAGAAAGCCCCAAAGAAGGATCCTGAAGAGGAGGATACCAAAGGAAAGGAAGGCCAGGAGGAAAATGAAGAGGAAGGCCAGGAGGAGAATGAAGATGAAGGGCAGGAGGAGAATGAAGAGGAAGGACAGGAGGAGAATGAAGATGAAGGGCAGGAGGAGAATGAAGAGGAAGGGCAGGAAGAGTCAAACGACGCGCCCAAAAAGAAACCAGCAGCCAAAGACCCGCGAGCCAAGAATCCCAAGCATACGTACTAATATATATATATATATATATATATATGCACAGTAGATGCCTTTGCCAATTAGGGTTGTTGATCTGTAAAGATGTTGTTGCCCCGTCGCAGGTCAAGCAAAGGTGGGTTCCAAGCCTTCGAGCTCTGGCCAGAAAGGACCCACGTATGGTGCTGAATGAGGACGTAGCTTGTCATCAACGAATGTTATCTTTCGAAACAATTTATTTGTTTAGGTATCTAAATTGCTAGGTCCTGGACACTTCGATCCGATGGCAAACCATCTCCAATCGGAATCGTGCCGAAGCCTTACTATGAAAAGCCATCTCGAAGAAAGCAGAGCAAACTCCCAAATGACAGAACCCTCGCTCAGGTTCGGGCCTTACAATGGACACTTCTACGTGAACAAGGCTACCCCGCAGCGAACGGCAACAATGAACGAGAACTTCAACACGGACTTTGAAGCTCCCGACCTACAAACCTTCAGCCCAAACTTTAAAACTCCAATATCCCTTCATCGAGGTCAATGCAAAGAATGGCCTCAGCCTGGGCTGGCAGAACTTCGAAGATCTCGAGACCGCGCCTCCCGCCCAGAGGTTCTCACAAATTTTTTTGAGGTTGAGGAGTCGAGTCTGGCTTTTCATGTCGCTTTGGAAGCTGCCTAGGTGGAGTGCTGCCTGTCTTGCTGCTGGCTGGGAGTAGTTCTACGACATGGCTGCTATCACCGATACGATACCTTGCACTGCCTGAGAAGCTGCTTCATGGACCTAGCAAAAGTGCTCTGATGCTTGCGCAACAGGTGTGAATCTCGAGCTTGGCATTGCATGCTTCTGTTCATTACAGTGCTGAGATGCCTGGTGGCTAGGTTTCGTGGCTCCACAGGGTTTGTCAGTGCTGGGTTTTCGTGGATCCAGCCAATATGTTTTGGATGCTGAGCGAAGTCGCGATAACACGTGACACTTGGTTGGCCTTGCTTTACATGGGCTTCCCGAGTGTCCTGCTGCTCGAATGCATCAAATCAAGAGCAAATGCTTCCTGAAATCCACACCCTCTACCCGTAATGCCCTGGCTGCAGGCTACACCTTGCCGACTATATCGCGCAAAATGCAGAACAACCGAACGACTGCCGTGTGCTCCCCCTAGTGCCCGGTCTCGCGGGACTTGGAATGTTGGTAGCGAAATGTGCTGGGTTGCTTAGGACTTGATTTGTCTGGATCTTTTCGGCGGCCGGCGATCTGTGGAAGC